AGAATAATTAATTGTGCAAATTTAAATAATTACTTGATAAATTAATAATAATAATTATAAAAAATTGATAGCAAAAAAATAATAAATACAGAATTTTATGTGAAAAATCCTGTTTGAAGAAAAAAATTACTGAGTTAAATTCTGAATTAAATTTACTATATCTGAAAATTGAGTAAAAGGTAATTTAACCAGAATAAAATAAAAAAGAGGGAAAATTTAATTAATTAATTCCCCTTCTTGTGTATGTGGGAAGAGAAGAAACCAAAGAAAAAATAGGGTGGGCTGTGATGATGACGAGAGAGAGAGAAAAATATTAAAATAAACGGTGATCGCCCCTTGTTTTTCTTCTCAGGTAGCCCACCAATCTTCATATGTATATATACATATACATATACATATACGACGTTCTCTCTCTCTCTTCTCTCTCTTTATTCTCTCTTCTGAAAACGCTCGCAGAACTTTTCCCTTCTTCTTTTCTTTTTGCTTTCTTCTCCTCTTGGCTTGCATTCTCTACTTCAAGGCTTCTCCTTTTATACACGAGGGAAGCCTTGAAGATCAATTTTTCCATCCGAAAAATCTTCCAAAAATTTTGTGAATTGATTTTTACTATACCGCTGAAAATTCGCAGGAGGTCATAGGCATATATCTTCTCTGGTTACGTGTACGACTTACTCTTATCTTCTTCTTCTTCTTCTTGATGGTGATGGTCTGGAGTTAACAAAAACATTATTAAAGAACGTAATAACTCTATAATAAAAATATTTAAATGACTTTTATATTATTTCTGTTTTTCTTCGTAAGTTCTTATGGAATTTTTTCGTCTATTTTATTCTTTGTATATTTCAAAAATATCTAAATAAACCCCTTATTTTAACTGTTATTAAATGACTGTTAAAAATATTGCTATATGGCATCTAACATGACTTCCACCTTATTTTTCTATAAACATGGCATCCGCATCATTTCTTCTTAAGACTTTAAAAAGTAAAATTCTCCATTTTTTTTTTTTTTTTTGCTTTCTCATCAGTTGAAATACTGTATGCCTGTACAATCACCAGTAATCGTTGTTCCCTTTTCCTAGTCTTTCTCATCTCGACCTCAATATTGCATCCTCCACCACCCATCATCGTGCAGATTTTGAAATTTCTTTCTAAATTTACATATCCTTGTATTTTTAAGAGCTTGTGCAGATTATTTTGATCCAAATTTTGGTAGAGAGGTTCATGCAAGTGATGGTTAAGTCCAGTTTTGATAGCGATCTTGTTATTCGGGCCTCAATTTTGTACATGTATGGATGTTTAATTTATTGAAACAAGGTCACAAAACGTGGTGTATTAAAAGCTGACAAGATTTTATTGACTTGGAGAGAATATTTCAAGCAGAATTGGAATATATAGGCATTTGTAGTCATTTTACAAATTTTAAATTAGGTTTTTAGTCTTATTTGAAAAACTTAAAAAGTTGGGCTATGGTGATGTCAGTCCTTTTTTCCTACTTGTATTGTTTTATCTACAATTTAGCAAGCCATGTGTTTTGTGAATGTGCACCTGGTCTATGTAATTAATTTTTGAATTAATAAATTTTCCTGAGTTGAAAGAAAAAGTTCAATAAATTCTTTATGAAATTAAATTTTAATTTCCAAATAAATTCTACATCTTCTTCACCGACCCACAATCTTTATGATAAACCAACAATTCCATTGCAGTCATCAAATTCTTGTTTGACTCAACATTAATTGCCTTAGAAGAATTCAATTGCAATCATGGAGTTCTAGACCACAACCTTCTTTGCCTATGGTATATTTTGTAAGTTACTCCATGAGAACATGATACTGACATTCATCTTTCACGAACTAGCAATGCATTTTTAGTCTTTGTTTCTCTCTAGCTTCTCCCTTAGTGTTCAATCAACAGTCCTAATGGCCAAAATATCACTGGAGAGAGTTCTGCAATGATTCTTTTTCCATGCATGCTGCAAAAACACCCATTTCCTGTGCATGGTTTAAAGCCTGCCTTCAAACATGGTGTGGTATCATATCCAAAGGAGGGAAAACCAATACACACAGCATAACAATAGTTAAGCATTTTGTGTTTCATGTGAACTCCTGTAGGACTTGTGCTTGGACTTCTTCTCCCGTTTCTTACTGCAGCCAAGCAATCTCTTGGTTTAGACAAAATGCAGGTTACCAGAATTAACACCAATTGTTTCTATGTAAAACAAGAGCAAAGAACATACTCTTCATGTGCATTATGACCCCAACAAGATTTTAACTTGCGGTTTATGTGCTTCATATCCTTTTCAGTTGGGAATTTATAGCTCTTTACCTGTGGAAAAACAAAATAGTTAGGCAAATGTCTTTGGACTTACTGGAAAAAAACCACATTTCTCCAACACAATTGCATTGCTCAAAGTTTGTATTGAGATTGTGAAAATCACAACTTGTTCAGGATTTTGTCTATACCAAAGAATCTATGGCATCTAAAAATTTGGTAAGTTCTGAAACAGCGTGTGCAGAATTTTGACAAGAGACGATGCTGCTCAGATATCTGCAGAAAAGCACACTTGTTTAAGTATGTAAAAAAAAAGGAACAATGTAAATACTTAAAGGCTCCCTTCCCTGCTCCCATAAAAAATGCTCATAGAAGACTTCATGAAAGAAGTCAAAACCTCTCAAAATCAAGAACCCTGTGCACCTCATTAGCAGTCCGTAAAGCAGCCAATGCCAACTGCACAATATCAATAAATAAGTTTAGCAATCAGAAACAGAATTATTTCATCTACCAAATATAAATATCATTTTTTGAACCGTGATAATCCTTCTAACTTTTTCCTGTTCTCCTCCCTGGATAGCTGCCTATGAATTTGATTCCCAAGACCTTAAAGCACCCAGGCCAAGTATTTGTTACTCAAGGCATCCAATCTCCATTTATCTTACAACAGTCGCCTGGTGCTACAAATTTTCTATACAGCTATAACATAAATAAAACCTAGTATTTCTATAAAAAGATGCTAAAGAGAGTATCTAGTTTCTTCAAAATGTTGATTATAGAGTGTTAGGTATGTGATAAATAATGAAAAGAAGTCACAACTTTGAGTTGTGAAAAATGAAAATTCTCAAGCAAAGCTTGAACCACCAAGCAATACCTGTCCCGGAGAAAACAAAAGTGGCGCATCAGTTAGCATGATCTTATCAACTTCCAATTTTGCAGTTTCATGCAAATCCTGCAGATAGCAATTAAACCACACTATTCAAAGACTTCTCTGCATATTTAGCAAATGAACCATATTAAAGGGCACTTCTATATGTATTTTTGAATGAACAATGTTTTCATAATTGCTGCAGAGAAATGGGAACAAAAAGGAGGCCATGGTTTTAATTCATGCACTTCCTATGTTTGATCATATGTCTTGCTGTTAATTGCCTAATCCTTTTTCTCTTGGTAGAAAACTTACTAATTTTTCATGGAGTTGCGATCAAGTACATAACAGACAGACTAAACAAATTATTCCTCGTCTCTTTTCTGGTAGAAAGATTATCAATTTTTCATAGACAGTTGCTGATAAACCATAGGCAATTAAATTCCATGTGGAAAGCAGAATGTTCTTTTTATTGAAATTTCAAGTCAAATACTTGACTTGAGCATTCAAGTTTAAACAACCAACGGTTGTGATAACCATGTACACCAAGAATCACATGTCCGACTGACTGTAACTTCAACAATATCCAAATTATGTAGCATCAAGCTGAAAAGACTCTTGAGCTAATCCATGCATCTTCTCTCCTGAACTAGAACACTTACATAGCAAGACTGCTCAACAACAAAAATTAACTCACTCTCAGCCTTTCAATTTCTTCATCCTTTGCTCGATTGAATTCCTAGAAAACAAAATTCCAAATGTCCATCAATTAAAGCAAACAAAAACAGGATCAAGGAAAAAGTCATAATATTTGACAAAAGATTACGGAATTATAGGGAAATTGCTTTCCAGGCTTTCCCAAGATTAGGAGTTATTTTACAACATTTTCTTATTTTTATTGCTCCACAACTTATTTATACCCTCCCTCTTCCATTTTGCTTTGCTTGGATGCATTATATTTGTCGAAATATAAGAGCGAAAGGGAGTGGGATCAAATGTGGAAAAAAGATGTAAGTCGATATTTTCTTGCACATTCTTAGAAGTAAGAACATGTACTTTAAGATGAAACTAACTAAACTGACCTCCATATCATTGACAAACCCTTCAACAGATCGATACGGAGCATAAACAATTAGATCAAATTCCAAACTCTGCACAAAATAGATAGATATCTCTTTAAAATAAATATAACCCAAAAGCAGGATAAAGGCCAAAAAACTGGTTCTTTGGAGCCATCATGCCTGAAGAACAGCCATCTCATAATTAAGAATCATCTGATGATCTTGCTGAATCCCTTTTCCAAGCTCCTCCGCAGATACATGATTTTCTTCTATCTTACAGGCTGCATATACACACGTTAATCTGCAAAAGCAACAACTTAGACTGAAAAGAGAAACTTTTAAGACAAAGAAGTATCAGAATTGACAACTAGAAGTTGGTGATGGTGAGAAAAAATTAAGTGGGCAAACTTCACAGGGGATGAGAGGTGAAGCAGCAATAGTTTCAGACAAAACACAATTAACCAAGCCAAAGAATCCAGTTACTGCACAAAGAACCTGCTATGCTCTTACAAAGTATTAAGAATTTTTATATGATAATTTAATGCACTCTCAAAGGCATGTAATGCATTGATAGAAGTAATACCCGTAGTAATCAAAATAGTCTTGGCCAACTTCCAAAGCATGCGTGTTAAAAGGATCAAACAAAATCACGTGTTACATATTTTAGGTGATACAGAGCCGAGCGATGAGTACAAAGCGAATTATCCTCCTGCCTTCTATTTGAAAGCATCTAATGTATTAATAGAAGTAATACTCAAAGTAATCAAAAAAGTGTCAGCCAACTTCTAAGGCATGGGTGTTAAAAGGATCACATAATATCATACATTATGTGTTTTGGGTGATGTTGCATGACTGACCATTGCAAATAAAACCTTTTGAAGTATATGAGAGCCGTCGCCTGCAAAACATGGAGCTCAGAATGATGTCTGTAAACACAACACAACCATTGTTCCTTTTTTTTAAAAAAATTATGATTATTATGATTGTATGAAATAGAAAAGCATACCTGAATTTTATGAGGAAAGAAAAAAGCACTGCATACTTCTCGAAGTTTAGCCTCATAAAACACTCGCAAAAACTTTTCTTCCTCAAAACTAAGAGGCTTTGGACGAGAATGCTTGTCACCTAACATATATAGAGAGAGAGAACAAAATCCTAAACATTGGTAAATATTCACCCAGATAAGGTACATAAAGAATAGCTATCGAGATATTATGATTGAAAAAATGGCTTATATAAATGAAATAGACTTTTTTACCATTATCTCTGGCATTAGCTTGAGGTGCTGGGTAGGATAACGAACCATCAACATCTACTTCCATTTGTGTTGTACCATACTTCAAAACATATTATTAGGTTAGTATCATAACAACATAACTTCTTTATTTACTTGAAACAGTTCACCACCTTAGTAATGAAAAAAATCATTTATGGCATGGCTTAGAACAAGCAACGAGAAAACACAAAAAGACACACCTTTTCAATCATGTGCATTGCTTTTTGATTAGCAGCTTTATATTTCTCGACCTGCATCAATGAAAGCAACATTTACTGACTCAATTTAATTATCAGCAATGTCTCATCTAGTCTCATTTGCTCTTCTAAGCAAAGTTTCCTGATAAGGCATTAAGAGAGGTTCTTTTTTTATGAACCTGCCAAGTCCCTAAATCTGTATTTGTAACGAATTATCATGTGAAAAATAGAATAAGAAAATGGATGCCTGTATAGAAAAACAGGAGTAAATAGAATTTGAACATTGACAACACCAGGTGGTGCCGTCTTCAAAAGAAGACAAAAATTCACAATGATTAAAAGATCCTCACAACAAATGATGGATGGGCCTCTGACAAATTACTAAAAATCTGGAACCAAAGGTCCCTAATACTTACAAAAGACAAAATAGTGTCCTCAAAAACTCAATTGTTCCCATTAAACAAAAAAATTTGAATTGTTTTTTCCTTCCATGTCACCGACCATAACCAAAGGAATAATAGATATGAACCTCTTCTTATCCTTGTTAGCAGAGTACCATTCCAAGCCCGAAAGTTCATCCACCAACAAACCGTTGGCCACCTAAGAGAGGTTGAAGAGACCAAGAGTTGAAAACCGTGATGGTCTAGACTCAGGACATCAGAGGAGTCGAAGATCAGAAATTTATTCTCTAGGAGGCACAACTGGCAGCCATTCGCTATGATTCTCCCCTTTCTCTTAGGTTTGTTATAGGTGAGGAGTCTGCCCCAGGCAGCCTCGCAAGCTAAGATAGGAATATGAGGTGGTGGTTTCTTTTTCCAAATTTGTCTCCAAGGAAGCATCATAAGATTGGCTAAAAAGAGTAAGGTAGAAGGATATGACAGAGAATCCATCAATCTTTGGAAGCAATGACGCTGTCAAATCAAAAGCATTCAGATCGACCTGACACCAAGACAACCAAAGCAATCAAGCAGCCAAGTCATCCATCTCAAAATCATAAAAATTACAAGAAAAAGCAATATTCCAGGACAGAATAGTGAGGTCATTAGTGAGCAAAAGATCCCTAACTGATGTATCTTTCTAGCAAGGTTCAAAAATCTTGATAACTACTCTTTAAAGGGCCAACTCCTACACCAACTATCATGCTAAAAACTCACCTTATGACCATTGCATATCCTAAAATTCCCAAGCTCGAAAACCAGGTTCCAGCCCCGGTGGATCCACTTCCAGAGGCTAGTACTGTAAACCTATCCATTCATGGCAGTTTTCCACCCTCTCCCTTCCAAGCCTTAGTTACAAGTAATGACCTCTTGATACGAATAACCCTCTGAAAAGATAACCTTCCATGGCCACTAAACTAATGCAGATTTGTTCACAACCAGTAAAGATCTAATAACAAGCCCTCTTAATTCCAGAGAACATCTAACAGATTCCCAAGCCAAGGTGATACCATGCATATTCGTTTAAATCACCCCATAAGAACTGATCATTGGATAGACTCTACCCTTTTAACAACCTTGGAAGGGATGGGAAAGAGAGATACTTGATTGGCAAAAAAGAGAGAGCATCCTTGATTAATGTGAGTTTCCTATCCTTCAATAAGTACTTCCTTTTCCAGGTAGATAACATTTTTTTCCATCTTGGAGATCATTGGTGCCCACATATTTAGATTCTTGAACTTCGCACCAAGAGACAAGGAGGAATACTCAATGGAAAGGGAAGCCACTCAGCACCGTAAAATCCTTTCCAAATCCATGATGGAAACAGCCACCCTGAGGAAACCATTAGGATTTGTACAAATTGATTTTGAGCCACAAAATCACCATGTACCGTCTCTCAGATTACCAAAAAAATGAACTTCATCTGCAGAAACTAGATGAGTAATCTCTCATGAGAAGTGCTATTACGGACATGCAATATCCGAATCAAATTTCCAGCTTATCCTTTTGAATCATTTAAGTGAAGGGCCTCCATTATAAGACAAATGAGGATAAGGTATCCCATTGTCTCAAGTCTCCGGACACCAAAAAGAATTTGGTGAGGCCCCCGTTAATTAAGATAGCGAAAGAAGATGAAGCGATACATCTTTTGATCCATCTACACCACCTATCACCGAACCCATACTCACAAGTAAAGCAAGAAAGTATAGGAGGTGAGATCATGAGACTTATTTTAATGGCCAACTCACAAGATTCTACCTTTCCCAGATTTAAGAACAAAATCGACCACTTCTTCTGCAAAAAAATAAAAAGAGAACAAAATCAACCACTTAATTGGCTATTAAAGCAACATCAAGAATTTGGCGACCTCCCAAAATTGTGTTTTGACTCTCCCCCACCACCTGAACAATAATATGACTCAGAAGGTAGGCAAGAACCTTGGCAATCAAATTGTAAATACTGTCCATGAAGCTAATAGGCCAAAAGTCATGTAAATCCACACCATCCACATTGAGAATCAGGACAATGAAACCTGAGCTCAAAGAGGCCATAAATTCTCTTGTATCATGAAAATTTGTGAAAAAAAGACAAATCGTAATTCCTAATTAAATCTCAACTTTTTTACATAACAGAAAATTCGTTTGAGCCTAGTGCTTTATCACGGTTGCAACTCATTAAAGCTCTATGAATCTCCTCTATTGAGAAAGGTCTCTGCAGCCCAGCATCTCTCGATCTTCAATTTTGTCAAAACCAACTCCATCTTGATTTGGTCTCTAAGTCTGCTCATAAGCGTACAAATCCTGATAATTACCCTTAATAGCTTCCTTCAAACCACTTGCTAATTCATATATCACCCATCCACCACAACCTTGGACAGGAAATTATTTCTCAGAGATAGTTGGCAATTCTATCAAAAAAGTTAGTGTTTGTATCCCCCTCATTGAACCAGAAGACTGTTAACCGCTGTCGCTAAGCCACCTCTTTCATATGGAAGGCATTAGCAAGCTCATCCTCTAATACTTGCATCCTTTCCTATCTGACTTTAGATAAACCCCTAGCAGTTCCTTCTTATCAATCACCAATTTCAGAAGTCAGGTTATTTTCAAGGCAAATTCATTGGCTTGAAAGTTGTTGTTCCACTCTTTATGTGACTTCACATAGGCAACTTCTTAGCTAATCTGAAATTATCAAACCCTCTACATTCAGGTTCGTCTACTACAAACATTTAGATCTAAAAAGCCTTATATCTTGAACCATCTATTTTCAAAATGGATAGGGATACCCAAATAGCACCATTGAGCTCTAAACATATTGGATAATGATAGGAAGAAGCCCTTGGGAGGATCTTCTAGAATAGATTTGGGATAATGGCTTTAAAGCTAGGGGAAACGAAGAACTTATCTACTTGAGAAAAAAAGATACTTTCTCTCATGTTAGACCACATCCATTGACCACTTGATAAAGGGAAGTCAATAAGGTTCAACCTATTAACCATGTTAAGAAACTTGAGAGTGTAAGAAGAAGAGGCTGACATGGAAACCTTTCATGATCAAAAAGCTGGTTTCTGTCAAATTCCCTTCTACCAATGGTCCAAACTTTTCCCCATGTTCGGTTTCTGTCCAATTCAAGAGAGATTCCAAAACTTCTTGACCAGCCCAAATCATTCCATAACAACTGCCTATCGACTCCTTCCCCTAAACCTAGGTACAAGAAAAGCCTTTGCTATGGAGTTCACAATAAACGGGAACTGCCCCTCAAACACTTGATGAGATCAACTTTCCCAACACCCACAAGACAAAAATGCCATTGGACACCGCAAGATATGGAAGATCAACCCAATCGACCTCTTGATAGTGCCAAAGCAGCTCTAGATCAACCCAATCGACCTCTTGATAGTTCCAAAAGCTCTAGATCAACCCTGCCTCAACCACTTTGAACTTAGTTTCCCAAACAAGGCCTCCATCCCAATCCTTTAGGAAACTTTTAACCAATCTCTTGCTCCTGTGGTTAGATTTCCAATATTCCAAGAGATTATCCTATTAATCATTAACAACCACCAGAGTTGAAGTCTTCTCCTCCTTGCCCACTAAATATACCCCTTTTCCTTCCCAATTATAATCGATGCTACATCTGAGCCTTGTCAATTCTCCATTGCCTCCATGTGTACCCCTCCTTAGGTCGCCCCCCAATCTGTTAGAGCTTTAGAATATCACTTTGACCTCAAGCATCCAAAAACACATATCGGGCAAAGGCTACCTCCGAAAACAGCACCAACTGTTGTCCCACCTAAACAACCTCCCTTCCACACCCCCTCAGACCAAGCTTCAGATAGCCACAAGAGATTGGCTCCTCTAGCAAATTCAATGATGGAATTGGAAGAAGAAGTGGACCAAGCAATAGAGAAATAGACTCACCTGGACTGGAAGCCTTAAACCTCCACATACGCCAAGTCGATCTCCTCCACCATTCTAAAGGACATTGAACGATAAGCAACAAATCATGCCTCCTATATTCATTAGAAAAGAATACTCTAAAGCACGAGACACTTGAGCAGAAGGACATTCTTCATCTATCCCAAGAAGGCATGCCAAGAAACTCCTTCTTTCCTACTACCACACACAGGTCATACACTTGATCAACTACCATGAGGAATCTCCACCAACTGCCAACTTCAATACCTTCCAGGATGAGTAGTCTTCTTATACTTCCCCTTGTTCCTCTCCTTCAATTCTAGGAAGCATTGACCTCTGCTCTTGCCCACCTTAACTGACAAGGAATCATTTACTCCCCCAAGGACATGACTCCATGACTTATGCCCTTTAATCCCAAAAACACAAAAAAAGGACCTGAGGAAACAATTAACTTTCTGGTTAAAAAAATAAAAGGGTGTATACCTTTGAGCCCATTCTCATTGATTATGAGAATGTCTTGCACTTCACCTTTTAAAACAATATCTTTTTGTATCACTGAGAATTTCCTAGATGAGAGAAAAGCCATAGCTAGAGAACTAGTTGACTAGAAAAGGGAAAAAATGTTGGCTGAGAGGATTTCTCTCGCTAGAAAGGATCAAAGAAAGGTTATAGAGAAAAATATAGCTCCTTTTTTCATCAGTTATTTCATTCCTCTTACTATTTTCTAATTTCTTGGCAATAAAATAGAAATATACAATCAAGAAAGCAACAAAAAAAAAGATATACCAGTTGTTGAGGAGTAAATATCCACTTGGATCGGTGAGTCGAGGTTTGGAAATCAGCCATTGCTTAAGCCTAACTCAATTGGTTTTGATAAAAGAATAGATGAATTGTGAATTACCTGCGTAAAGAATAAAATAAGATGCTCAAACTCTAGAATCACAATAAAAGAAATAAGATTTGCAGAAGGAGAAGGAAGTAATATTTAAACGTATTTCTCATGAGCTTATGTGCTCCATGTGCTTATAAGCTTGAAAAAAGCCAAACCAAATTTCCCCTTTAACAACCGTAATCTTAGGTTCTTTTATCCAAATCAAACAACCATAAACAGGGGTTCCTTAACCACTAATTATTGCACCGTAATCAGTGCACAAAGTTCATTATAAATGAGCAAATTGTAAGAGCCTTAAATGCATAGTTATATAAGGGTTCAAAAGTACATAATAGATTAGAAACCAGACATTTTGATTAAAATAACTTGCAAATAAATTATATGAAGTCATCATCATGGTGGGGCTAGAAACCGATTTTACAAACTGCCCATATACAAAGACTAAGAAAGATTAAGACAAAACACGAAAGTGTTTGGGCACCCATGAAATCTACATTCTAAATTGGGGTCTCTACTAAGTGCACTTGTGCATAGTGCTAGAAACTCATCAACTTATCTCAAAGTTTCAGCAAAAATCTAATTGACACAACTAGAATTACAAACCATTAATGAGGGGAGGGAGGGAAATGCTTCCAAAAACTAAAAACTGAGAAATCAAATTACAAATAATGCAGATAGTCATAGCTTCATATCTGCAATTCTCGTCAAAAAGAATTTCCTCTCACATATCCATATCTCACCATTTGGAAAATGAATAATGGATGATCATGTAACCAAAAAATTGAAAGAAAAACTCAGAGCCTATTTGATTATAAAGGCAATGCATAAAGGCATGTCAACAATCTTTTTTATTATAAAAGCAATGCATAAAGACATCTTAACAATTTCATAGCTAACCAGGATTTTGAATATCACGATGACCAAACAAAAGCAAAATGAAATAGACAATAACTTAAATAGAAAATAGGAAAAAGAAAAAGAAATAGAGGAAGAAATATGATACAACGAAATCATTTTGAACGATTTTATTTTCAAAATAAGATGCAATATAGAAATATATTTAAATCGCAACAGCAGAAATCCACACACACATCCCGAGCGCCCTTAGAACGCTCGGACTAAGGAAATGGATCACAATAAGCATGCGAAATAGAAAAGGAAACTGGATTCCGTCTTACCCCCTTAGGACGCTCTTCCTTCTTCTTTTCTTCTCAAACCCGAGCACCCTCTTCTCTGTTTCGGCTCAAACCTCTTCCTTTTTAAATTTCGAAACCCCAAATCAAAACTCCAAAACCCAAAAACATCCTCTTCTCCTAAGTCGGCCCCCTGTAGTTCTTTTCTTCGTCTTCTTCTCACCCTTCCTTGCCCTCAAGCTTCAGTCAACCTCTCAGTCTCCTCCCTAGCTTTCTCTCTCGTCAACCCGTCTCCCTATCTCTCCACTTCCTCGGCTCACTCTCTCTCTCTCTAATCGTCTACGTTCTCCTGTTTTCTCTTTCTGCAGCTCCTCCTCCAAAACCAAAGAGAATGCCCTTATATCTGCGTCTCCCTCTGTCTCCTTCTCCTCACGCGAGGCTAGGTACGCAACTTCTTGTCCTCCTGTTATTCCAACAGAAGATGTCGTTTCTTCCTTACACGCGGTCTCTCTCTCTCTCTCTCCTCCGGCCACTGCTCTGCTGCTCGTAGCTCTCGGCCTCTCTTCTTCTTTCTAGGGAAACTAGAGAAAGACAAAGAACCAACCACCAAGACGCCGTCGTATCGGGTGTTTAACACAGACAGGCTGGTCATTATATATGTTGGGTCCTTTTTCGGATTTGTTATTTTGGATGGGCCGGTTTCAGTTTAATGAACAGGTTGGGTTTGTGTGGGTTTTCTTTTGGGTTAAAGAAGACATTATGGTGTCTTCGTGAATGGTTGGCTATGAGCTTAATTAGGTTAAAGATGATGTTTCTAGGTTGCTACAGGTTGAATGATATAGATTTAGGTTATGTTTAGGTTTAGGTTTTGAGTTGGTTAGATATAGATTTTAAAAATACAAGGGCTTCTTGGGTTTTTTATGGCTTAGTTTGAATAAAATTTGTGATAAATTTTTTTTTTTAAATAACGATTGTACGGTCTTTGAAATAATATTTTTTTTTTCTAGTTAACAAAATTGTATTTTTAGTCCACAACTTGAACATAAAATAACTCTCAAAAGCAAGTACAAAAGTGATACTTAAAATAGTGTCTCAATCAATCCCAACATATGTGATAAACATACTTCCAATCCAACGATTGGTATGCAATCAAATGGAGTCCATAGTCTTGAGTTCTTGTGAGACCAAGGAAAAAGTTAGAGAAAGATCCACTTGCCCAAATGGTCTAAACTATATTTAAGTAAGTTTTCAAGTAGTTTGAGCTTTAGGTACGTTATTAGTTTTAACCAAACTATGCTAACCAAGCAAGTTTGGCGACTTCTACATACACCAAACTCCCTTATTGGTAAGGTCTACAAGGTCAAATACTATAAAAAATTAGATATATCAAATATAAATAACTTGAAAATAGAACCAATTACCTAAAGAGAAACATTATAGTTGGACAAGACCTTATTGAACAAGAGTTGAGATAGAGAATGAGAAATAATAGATCAATAAACATTCGATACTAATAAAAAATTAGGATGAGAATACACCGTTGGTCCATTTTTTATTTCATTTTAAATAATTTTTATATTTAGAATCTCATATTACATTACTTCACTTCATGTACAATTTTTATTCAACTTCAATTTGATATATAACTTAAGATTAAACTGATATTTTTATTTAAGTTTATGTCATATTTATATCATAATTTTATTCTATAAAATTAAGATTTGAACTAAACTCAGTATTATAACCAATAATAAAACTATACATTTTGTAAATGAACGAGACAACAATAATATTGTTAAAAAGGGATAAAGATATAAAAGCAAAGAATTCATATACATTAAATTATAATAATAAGTTTTATTTTAGTTTTTGTGTAAAATTCTCATAGTAAGTGATGATATCTCATTTATTTTAATGCGGTATTAATACAAAGGGATAATACATCAAAAAGTCATTGTATTTTTTACAAAATTCAAATTGAGCAATGGAATATTTTTTTTGTTTAAACACAACATGAATTTTTAAATTTTGTTCCGATAAATCATTTATTACTAATAGTATATCTAATATCAATAAATAGGTACCTACGACAGATAATATGTCTACACAAGCATCATATTTTTTAAAAATATTATTAGTATGGTAACTATATAGCTGCCATATGGCATTACACTGGTAACAATTTTTCTTTTTTTTTTTCTTTTTCTATTTTTTTTATTTTTGAATTGTCATAAATTAAATATAAATTTATAAAAAAAGATCGATAACAACTATAGAATTAGAATGAAATCCTCAATACAAATACAATTTCAAGTTTTTTAACGCTCATTTAAGCATCATCATCTAACTTTGTGGTACTTAAAAATACAATGCTGCAAAAGAGTATACTAAAAATGGTAGAATAAATTATATAGTTGTTATACTAGTAATATTTTTAAGACGTAATACCCACATAGACACATCTTTTGTCACATGTACATCTGTTTAATTTAAAAATATAAGTCGAATTAAAATGTACAAAAGCTTATTCAAATAATTTTAAATAGTATAAAAACTTTTTGATGTATTATCCCTTTATATAAATATGTATTTATCTTAATTTTTTAATATATTTTTGAAGGAATTATTTTTAATTCCGGTAATTAAGTTAATAGTCTACTAATCCAATATTTTATTTTTTCCATCAACTTATAACGGTTAGAGCCAACTAAAAGTACGCATAAATAATAGATAACCATTATAAAAAAAAAAGTGTCTTGACGAAGTAGCTAAACTTAAATAAAAAATGATTATTATATATTATGATAATTAAAATATAATAATTATATTTTACGAGGATTAAAATATAACAACTATATTTAATTATAGAATTATTATATTTTATGATAATTAAATAATAATAATTATACTCTAATAGAGAAACTGTTATCAACACATTCAATAATCATAAATATGTTTTAACCATCTTCTTTTATCTATAAAATAAGCACATATCTCCATTTTACAGTATGTTTCCATCAACAAAAGTTCTAAAATATCTATGCATAATAGTTAGATAGAAAGAAGAAGTGAGTTAGAGAATTAAGGATTTTATCAAAGAGGTTTCTTAGTCACGTTATGGCTGCATCATTTTCGAATGGTATGTAATTCTAATTTTATGTTTTTCTTAACATGTATTAAATTCAATAAAATTAGACAAATTAAATCATTACATTATTTCTTATTTTTGGTATCAAAGCATATTGAATTCATACATTTTAGAATTATGGCTTTATTCTAATATTGTTTAGAATTATAGTTTTATTCTAATGTTGTTAACAATTCATATTTTTATTTCCGGAAAACATCACATGTTAATATGTTGTGATTTTATTACATTTGACTTATATTTATATATTGCAGCTAAATATATGATGAGAACATGCATAAATTATATAGCATAATGAGTTTTGATTCCACCAAATATTACATGTGGAGTTGGATTTGATCAACATTGTGGTATTATTTCGAAATATAAATATATATGTATATATTTTTATATAAATTATGATTGAGTAGTTTTATGACTTAAGGTTCATTAACTTAGATAATTACCAAAGTAACATAAGTTGATGAATCTTGCATTAATTAAACTATATTAAAAAACTAAAAGAGACTTATAAAGGAATAATATATATATATATATATTCAATATTCATAATTAGAAGATTGAGACTAGCCCAAACGAGAGTCACTTTCTACTAATTATGAACTGATGGTTTATTTTATGTTATATAAATAGATACTCAATGTAACATATAAATGATACTGTTATATAAAATTAAAAATGTCCACAATATTTATTTTAAAAAAACACGATCCATCGTAAGTTTATAAGAGAGAAATCTTTCTTATAAAAAGATATGACTCTTTGTGAGTATATAAGGGAGAAAAAAAATTGTTTATGTTCACTTAAGAAAAGAGATACTATTCAAAAAGAAATATATTACTATTTTATCTCTTACATTGAGTTAAACCATAAACAAACTTGGATTTTGGGATGTAAAGATTATCTAGAACTCTAGTAACATCCTAGATAAATGAATAGGCCAAAACAAATTTATGGTAATTGAAAGTGTTGATAACCATTTCTATTTTTATACTTTAATTCTCAAAAATATATAATTTTGTAATTTATTTTAAGGTTACCCACTCCATCAAGACACATTTTCTTTTATAACAGTTATATATTATTTTAGCTGTCTTTTTTGTTAACTTTAACCGTTATGAGTAGATGAGAAAAATAAAATATTAGATTAGTAGATCATTCACTTAATTACTGAAATTAACATTCTCTCACTTGATCTACTAAACCAATGAAAGAAATTGTAATAATATATATATATATATATTTATATTTAAAATATATTTATGATAAATGAATTTGATACGTGATCCCCATAAAATCAGTTAACAAACCCAAAATTACTATACCATAATACCCAAATAACTTAGGTTATAAATATGAATCATAACAGTCACATGACTTCAATATTGTATTTTTTCTATGTACCATACATCAATAACCTTTACTAATTCAGTCCATAAAGACAAAATAATCTCTATAAATTGTCTTGTCATGGCATTCTGTATTGATTAAATACTAAATTGTGCACTAATGATTAAAAAATAGAAAAAAACATAAATAAACTACAATACGCAAAATATCAATTATTCTACTACTGAAATATCCATTGTCATATTATGAATTATTCAGAACTCTCAACTTTACAATATGTTTTACATATGTCTTCGGAGGTAGTATTGTAGTTGATGGATAAAAAAAAAATAGGCGTGGTACTAATATTTTTAATAGATACATGGTTTTTCTAGACCCTCTCTTTAATAATTAAGTACTTCAAGTTCATTTGTTTGGATCAACTATAATATTTGTTATTCTTAAAAAAGAAAATAGCGACAATATTAACCCAAAATATTCTCAGCGACTAGCAATAGAGTTAACAACACCAAGCTTTGAGATGAAATTCCGCAACCATAAAGTATGACTTGAGATTTCAAAACATGTTATAAACTTAGCCTCTATTCTTGATGAGATTTTAATGGACTACTTTACACTCTTTCACGAAATTGCCCCATTTACTATCATAGAGACAAATCTTGAAGTAGCCTTTAAGCTATCACGACAACCACTATAATCCGAGTCTGAGTATCCAATCACCTCTAATTGTAAAGATCTTTTATATGTGAGTATATAATCTTCTTTGTAGCTTTTCAGTGTTCAATTCTTGGATCACTTTGATATCTTTACAACATACCAACAACATAGCTTATATCTAGTCTAGTACAAGTTTAAGCATACATCAAACTTCTCCCAGTGGATGCATAAGGAATTTTCTTCATCTCTTCTCTTTCTAAGTCATTTTAAAGACATTAAATTTTACTTAATTTGTCACCTTTTAAAATGGATGCAATACCAATTGAATATGACTATATATTAAATCTCTCTAAAATTCGATAAATATATCCCTTATGAGACAAACCTAACAATCATTGAGATCAGTCTTTGAAGATTTCTATGGTAATAACATAGGTTGTCTCACCCATATCAAC